ATCATAAACCACTGTAACTTTATATTCATATCAACATTACCTGTGCTGTATTAGCAGCTATAAAACCAAAATGTTTGACTTCAGCCTGAACTTTGATGTTGGCTCCTAGGCAGGTGCCCCTTACAAGTTATAACATTTATGCAGAATGGAAGAACCACAAACTGTCACAAACAATGCAAAAAAAAAGCAGATCAACATTCAGGCACACTCTTGTCTTAAAAAATGCATTGCTGTGGGAGATTTAAAGGTTTCTTCATCTGATTCTCCCTTATAGTAGACTACTTGTATGAAGCAATAATCATGTAACTCACAGTTACAAGAACCACAAAGGGGAAAAGCAAGTTAATAATTCATACATTCGATGTAAATAACTCTTTAAAAACTAAAACAAAAACTGCCACTATTCAGTCATTTTTTAAGTAACACATTGCTCAAAAAACATAATTTTACAATTATTTATTGTATTAATCCTATGAATAGCACCAGGAACCAGCAATGGAGACAGAACTGTTTCTACTGATGACGATCCAAAGTCTCTGATCCGCAAATGCTTGGTGAAAGAATTCCAGGTTGTCGGGGCTCTTCTGTGTATGAGCAGCTCCGCCACATCTAACAAAACACTAGAAAAACAATCTAATCTACTATTTTGTTCAAACTCCTCCTTAAAGTTGCAGTAAGTAACGTTTACAGATTTTCTTTTTTTTTTCACATATTTGTTGAAGCTGTGACAACATCATGACAGTATGGCAAGTCCATAAATCAAACGCACCAATCCGCTCAGCAACCACCATCTTTTAGAAGAAGATGCACGTGCCAAGTGCTATCATTTAAAAACCAGTACTTATAATCTGCAGTTATAAATTAATAAACAGTTGTTTTCGAGGTGTGCTGTGTTGTTTTTAATTAAGCAAAAATAACACGAAACACAACTAGATACTGTCCGTTTGCTTTTAATTGGGACATCTTGTAAGACGCAGACAGACGTTAAACATGGAGGTTAACGGTTTGAAGACTGTTGACGAAAGTTTCAAGCAGCGGGGCGCGAGGACAGAAAGAGAAAAGGACGACCGTTGGAGCGGGAGAGGCTCCAGCACACAGCACAGACATCTCAGAAACGATTAGGGATGAGAGAGAGAGAGAGAGAGAGAGAGAGAGAGAGAGGCAATTTACAAACTGATTAAGTCGCATTTTAAATTCGCTATTGCTAGCAAATCTATCCTGACTAAAAGTACAGCCGTTCTGAATGACTTTATTGCAGCAGAAGGCAGCGCCACACCGGGAGGTAGCACAGATAGACAGTAAATTTCTATCTTAACCACTTTCACCCCTGGTTAAGACTCTTTCCAGTCCTAAAACTAACAGCACTTTACATTCAGTTTGAGGCAACACAAGCTTTCTCCTGTTAACCCGGAACCAGAGCAGCACAAAAGTTGAATGTTTAGTTGTTGTGTTGGGACTCAGTGACTCTTCCGTCAGTTAGCAAGCTAAGCTACTAACATAAAAAATAGTTTCACAACTTTATGTTAAGAAGCTCAATCAAGTATCCACAGAAAGCTGTTTCTAACCTGTTACTGAGATAAAAACGTACAAACCTAATCTGTACAGAAGAACTTTGGGGTTGAAATCTGCCTCCAGTGCTTTGCCCCGCTAGTTCATTTCTAACCGTTGATAGAACTGGTAGTTCTTCTTCTACTGTTTAGTTTTGGCGGTTATCAAGATGACTGAAGGTGTGCATTACCGCCACCTACTGTATGGAGTGTTGTTTATGCTGGTTTAATTTCTGAGTAAAGGATGATTTGTAATGTTTACTCCGTAACTTCTTTTTCAGTGTATCTATTATACTAACTTTTTCTTTATTTTCAAACTCTCTCCTGATATATCTTATATCTTCTTTATATTTAAGACATTCTAATATAACATGTTTTATTGTTTCATCCTTTACATAGTGATCACATTTCCCCATATTATGCTTTTGTAGTTTGAAAAGTATATAGTTAAATCTGGCTTGTCTTAATTGTTTTATTTATCTTTGTTTCTTCTTCCAGTTCTCATTTCTATAATATATGATTCATCAATTTATTTTCCAATAATGTGATATCTTTTATTGTTTATGGGTGGTATGACCGATTTGCAATGGACTGTTGACCTGTCCAGGGGTGTAACCCGCCTCTCACCTGCTAACCACTGGAGATGAGCACCAGCACCTCACCTGACCCTTCTTTGGATTAGGGTATAAGATAATGACTGGATGGATGGAGGGTATGACAGATGTTGGTGTTGTTGGGCGAGAAATTTTTCTAAGCGAGAAATTTTTACTTTTTATGTTAAATTTTTTTTCTTAGTATTACTAAATATTAACCCATTTTACTATTTATATTACATTTTAAGACTATGAACTCCTTTTTTCAGTATGTGTACTGCAGTGCAATAAAATGCTATTAAAGTGAAGTATTGATTTCCACTTCCACATAAAAATGTTCCCCATTATTTATTTTTTTCAAAGTTCTTTAAGAAAAAATGAGTTGTTAATGCTACTAGACTCCACGATATCACAAGAGGCACAAGCAAAGAGAACCTAATCAGCTGGAACTGCAGTGTCTTTAAAAAAGTTTTCAAGAGAGATTGCAAAGCATTAGAACTGCAAAGGATTTATTCTAAAAGGTTTGATGAAGGTTCGATGGCAAAGATCACCCCACCATTAATAAATACTGCTGAGGATGGTAAAGTGAGAGAAAATAATGGCAATGACAAGGATTTAAAGCTTCAAGAGGCTTGAATCTTTTTTACTTTCCCATTTAAGTTTTTTCTATCTGACCGGTTTCAGTGCATCATCACCATTTAACTTTCTACTTGCTGATCCTTTTTGCCAGAAATAGCAGTACAGCTGCAAGTTGCTTGATAGTTGATTCAACCAGTTTCATAATATCTAGAGATTGAAATACTTCCTCATTCATCTTTGATAAAGAGCTTTTTATATTACTCTGATACATATTAAAGACATGAAAGTAAAATACAGTACACAGACATTTTACTTTATTGAACAAAAAACATCTCCAGCAAGCAGGCAGGCTTGTCATCTTGTAAAAGTTTGACCTGAGAACGCATCTGTAGCACAGTTGTATTTTCAACAATGAAGAAAATTCAGCATAATGAATAAATCTGGCAAAGAAAAGAATTTGACCTAAACAACCAAATTTTAAAAATTTACTGAGCAAGTAAACATATTTCAGCAATACAAATAAAGTATCCTATAACTATAGGTCCTCCAGGGTCAGTGTCCGGCGATTAAGGACAGAGTCATTGAATGTTAATGAAAACCTAAGCAGAAGAGAAACAAACAAATAAGTAAAAATTATCTTTAACACCACAGAAATATATGGCAACCATTTCTAAAACAGAGGAGTTTTGATTCAGTTTCCACTCAGTGTCTTTTTTTTCTGAACAATTTCAAACAAACATCACAGATGAAAGATTTCTCTCATGTGTGGATTCTCATGTGTGAGGTCAAATTACTTTTTTGACTAAACATTTTCGAACAAACATCGCAGCTGAAAGGTTTCTCCCCAGTGTGGACTCTCGCGTGTGAGAGCAAATTATGTTTGTGACTGAACACTTTTGAACAAACATCGCAGCTGAAAGGTTTCTCTCCAGTGTGGATTCTCATGTGTGAGGTCAAATTATTTTTCTTACTAAACATTTTGGAACAAAAATCGCAGCTGAAGAGTTTCTCTCCAGTGTGGATTCTCTTGTGTAAGGCCAAATTATTTTTCTGACTAAACATTTGCGAACAAACATCGCAGCTGAAAGGTTTCTCTCCAGTGTGGATTGTCATATGTGAGGTCAAATAATGTTTGTGACTAAACATTTTTGAACAAACTTCACAGTTGAAAGGTTTCTCTCCAGTGTGGATTCTCATATGTGAGGTCAAATTATATTTTTGGCTAAACATTTTCGAACAAACATCGCAGCTGAAAGGTTTCTCTCCAGTGTGAATTCTCAGATGTGAGGTCAGAGTATTTTTCCTACTAAAAATTTTCGAACAAACATCGCAGCTGAAAGGTTTCTCTCCTGTGTGGATTTTTATATGTGAGATCAAATTATTTTTCTTACTAAAAATTTTTGAACAAACATTGCAGCTGAAAGGTTTCTCTCCATTGTGGATTCTCATGTGTAAGGTCAAATGATGTTTGTGACTAAACATTTTGGAACAAACATCGCAGCTGAAAGGTTTCTCTCCATTGTGGATTCTCATGTGTGAGGTCAAATTATTTTTCTTACTAAACATTTTGGAACAAATATCGCAGCTGAAAGGTTTCTCTCCAGTGTGGATTCTCATATGAGAGGCTAAATTTCTTTTGTAGCCCAATGTGTGTCCACATAACTTACAACAGAACTGTTTTGGTTCTGAGTTGGTTTGTTTGTGTCCTTTTGGTTTTAGATTTCTATCACATGTTTTACCACTGTGACCAGACATAAATGTCATTTTTACCTGACCTTTCCTCATTGAGTCTCTGTTTCTATCTGCTGTAAAACATTTGGCTTTATCCACTGAGACTGAAGAACCTCTACTTGAATGGCTCCCTTTCCAGTCATCTCTCCTGTCTTTAGCTTTTGGCCTAGAATCTGGCAAGTGTTTCAGTTCTTCAAAGCCTTGATGGTTTACATCATCATCAATCATATCATCATCTTCATCACCCTTGTCCTCAGGGACTCCAGTCTCTGAAGAGTTGGAGTAATCTCCATGACCTTGATTTCTAGAGGATCCAGCAGCTCCACAGTGGTCTTCTGGAAATTCTCCATCTTTCATTTGGTGTTGATGAAGGGGTGAGAACAGAAGACACTCTTCATCTTCCTTGCTTATAGCTGGCATGAGGGGCTTTGGACCCTCCAGCTCAAAACTCCGGCTGTGTTCTTCAGGAGCATCTTCTTTCATCACCAACATCTGTTGAACATCTGCAGGAACCACTGAAAATCATTAAGTTAATCATAAACCACTGTAACTTTATATTCATATCAACATTACCTGTGCTGTATGAGCAGCTCTATAATATATATGTAAAGCTGCTCCCTTAAAGCAGACTATATGTATGAAGTAATAATCATGTAATTCACAGTTACAAGAACCACAAAGGGGAAAATAGCAAGTTCATAATTCATACATCTGAGGTAAATAACTTGTGTAAAATGTCCCAGTCCATAAATCAAACTCACCAATGCAAAAAAGAGCACGTCTCAAAGTTTACAGGCTTTGTTGTTGATGAAGAGAGGAATAAGCACAATAAAAGAGTTTGTGAAAAATAATTAGCTCCCATGCATTTGAGGGGGAACAGATTATTTCAGGCAGCTAAAATATTTGGTTCCAGCCCTTTAACTTTGGCAAATAAAGAGCAAATGTTACCAGATTCACAGGAATGGTTGCTGATGATGAGAAGATTTACCAGTTCCAGGACCCGACCAAACCCCCTCAGTGCTATTACCTTGGGAAATAATGACATTTTGTTAAGTATAAAACAGGCTTTTAATGCCTAAAAATCATCAAATGTTACAAGCCATGCAAGTCATATAAATGGAACAGATACAGAGTGACATTCACCGTCCAGCGCTTCACTTAGCTCATGTTAGGGATGACACTAGGTAAAGCAAAGATGGTAGCTACAGTTTAGCTTCTATTCGTCTCCTCATTCTGTTTCCTCCTAAAGGCTAGTGTAATCAGTTTCAGTTTGTTTATGTCTGACTGGCGCCAGCCTTATGTGATTATGGTTACGTAAGCAGCAGCAGTGTACGCGTAAGCAGATAAAATATATAAAGGAAAGAGACAGAATCCACAACATTCTCCCTAATGGAGGAGTCTATCCAGTATCCTCAGAAAGCTGTTCCTACAGCGTTACTGAGATAAAAAAAAAAAAAAAAAAAAAAAACAAACCTAATCTGTACAGAAGAACTTTGGAGTTGAAATCAGCCTCCAGTGATTTTCCCCGCTGGTTCATTTCTAACAGTTGATAGAAGGACTCGTCTTCGTTGCCATCTTCTTCTTTTTTTTTTTTATGGTGGTTGGCAAACAACTTTTTGGTGCACTACCGCCACCTTCCAGGTTGGAGCATGGATCAGATGTTTTTACTATTACAATCTTCGGTAACACTTTATTTGAAGGGGTGTGCATAAGACTGACATGACACTGTCATAAACATGACATGGCATCTGCCATGAAGTGTCATTCGGTAAATAATGACCCTTTAATGCAAAGTTGTTCTAAAAGTTGCATTAAAAGTCCATTAAAAGTGTCAACTTTGCATGATTTGGTACATTATGATAACTGAATGCAAAGTTAGCATTTTTAATGGACTTTCAATGCAACTTTTAGAACAACTTTGCATTAAAGTGTCATTATTTACCAAATGACACTTCATGATAACTGTCATAAGCATTCATAAAGACTTCTTTATGTTCATGACAGGTGTTATGTCATGTTTATCACAGTGTCATGTCAGTCTTATGCAGACCCCTTCAAATAAAGTGTTACCCAATCTTCTCAAAAGTTGTAAAATGTTATATGATGAAGTAAAGATAAACATTTTGTGGTTGTAACATCAGTAGAGGTTTACGGAAGAGGATTAAGGCCACTGGGGGAAAAAAAGAAATTCTGACTTTAATCTCAAAATTTTGAGAAAAAAATGTCAGAATTCTGAGATCAAAGTCAGAATTCTGAGATCAAAGTCAGAATTCTGACTGTTTTCTCAGAATTCTGAGAAATGAAGTGATGTGTCTTGCCAAAGGACACATCAGAGGCAAACAGAGCACACACAGACATGACATTGTGGGGGGGTCTGTCGGTGATCCCTCCAGAGGTGGGGACTAGAGTCACATGACTTGAACTCAAGTCATTAAAATCACGACTTGAGACTTGACTTGAAAAAATGCTCAAAGACTCGGACTTGACTTTGACTTGCACACCATTGACTTGGGACTTGACTTGACTTGAAGCTGTTTACTTGAAAAGACTTGATATTTTACCTAAAGTCTTAAAATTCAAAACACATTATTTATAAAGTGGCCCCATTAATTCATTTCACTCATTCCGTATTAACAGCACTAGGACTTGTGAATCAAAAAATGTTGTATTTGATGAAGTAAAGACAAAAACGTTTTATAATTGTAACATCACCAGAGGCTTAATTGAATGGAAGTTTTTGGGTGTGGTATATTTTATCATGATTAAATAATAATTTGCATCGAAAATGTACAACAAATATTTCTGTGTATGAGAAACTACAACTTAAACTTAAAATTAAACATAAACTGAATTTCATTTAAACTTAAAATTAATTTCACTCATTTTACATATGAGTCTGGCTAATGGATTTTAAAAATAGCTTTTAAAAAGTAATCATTGTTGACCTAAGAAACTAAAATTTCAGAAAAAAATACACAACCTGGATCAAGTGTTTTGTTGCTGTTGCTTTATTTGCGTCTTCTCCCTCTAGGGGGCAGCATTGCATCATAATCTAGTTCCACACCTGCTGTGCTCCAGAACAAAAATAACGTGTTTTGTATGTTGGAAAATCATGCTATGAAAATACTTCACCTTTAAATTTCCCAAAAACTAAAGATTTAAAATGAATTAAAGTGTTCTTTTAAAGACTTGCCAGTTTTGGAAGGTCAGCTGTTGTAACTTTGAAATACCTTAGCATGTAATATTATCTGACAATTATGTAAAATATCACACTATGACTGTCACGCTCCCAAGCAAAGAAATCAGCTGATGTGCAGACAGAGACGGATGGCAGATCTGTGTCAAAGCCTTGGCTATAATGTGCTCATTATGAGTGTGCCACAGGGTGGATATTGTGCTGTGCTCACATACAAAAGAAGGGAAAGGCTTGACCCTGTGTAAAGTAGGTCAGGTCTGTGAAGGGGCTAACACTTAGCTGTGTTAGCAGAACGATTTGATTTGATAATTCCCATAACCTGTGAACTCCCAGAGAAGCAGAAAGAAACTAGCTTAGGTCGCACTAATTATCCCATGATCTTTGTGTGGCTCCAAATACCAGACATTTGGAAAGTTAGATTAGATGACATGAGTGGTGCTGGCTTGAATTAGCCTCAAAAGAAACCAAAAATAATAAAAAAATAAATAACACAGAAAAATATCCGCAAGTAGATGTGAAAACCTCAAGAGAATTTTACCACCCGCAGAATGAGAGGAGGAGACAACAGCATGTTTTTTTTGTTTTTTTTTTAGCAGAAAATATATACATGGACTGGTTCCCAGAGATGACAGGATCAATTACAGAGATGTTTTTCTTTGCTGGTAAATATGTATTTGCCAAAAAGTAACATGAGATGACGCCAAGGCATGTATGAAAAAATTTCGACTGATAAATCGCACATGAAAATGCTTCAGATGTATCAAGGATTTAATTTTGTAACTTGTATAAAAATCTACAATGTGTGCAAAGAGTGAAGTATTTTTTTCAGCCTGAGACAAAATCACAACTCCTAAAACAAACCTTGAGCTTCAGTCACCCTTCTGTCCGGAAATACAGATATTAAGGTTAAAGTTTTAATGATATTTTGCAGGTGTTCCTTGTAGATAACTGAAAACAAACTTGTAATTGTTCATCAGTGGAGCAAGAAAAAAAAGCATGAATGATGAGATGCATTTCCTTTTTCCAAAAGGTCACATGAAACCACTTAATGCTAAAATATAGAATCATATTTTTACATCATTGTGATTGTGTGTGTGGGGGGTTGCAGCTGGGTAAATGTGTGGCTGTGGGTGTGTTTGAGTGTGCGATGACATGGCCTGGATCCGGGTGATTCCTTCTTGGCCAATCAGATTGAAGAAGGAGGGGTTTTTTTTTTTTTTTTTGGGGGGGGGTTGTCAGTAAATGATTAAAGGGTGGGGGAGGTTAAACTCTAAACCACGCTGTAAAACACTGACCCTATAAAGTGAGAGGTGTCTTATGATGTATGTAGAAGTTCTCAGCTGCCAACATCTTGTCTCAAGTTTTAAATCTGTTATGAGGTTGATATGTCTGGGTTGGACTCCAGCCTTTGTTGATACAGTACGAAAATAGTAGCTTTGTAGATGTGGATGTTGCATAACTTTATTTGTGATCCAAAACATGCCAAGTCCATTCAACCGGCTAACAAAAATTTCAATTGTGTGAAAATGGAAAACAAGATTTCATCATAACTTAACATTAGGCTGTATTATGAACAGAGCTACAATTTTGTTCCAAAGATTTAGAGCTTTTTTTTTAAAACAAACTTTGACCTTGATCTTTAAAACTTTTCTGGTTAATTTTAGTTGTGCTTCACACATTTTTTGTCTGGGCCGACTTGTGATCTTTAAGGTAAACAGTGTAATGAAATTTTTTAGCGAGTTTATAAATACTCTAGCTTTTCTAATCTGGTACATATTCCTCATTTGATCAGGTAATTATTAATTGCAAGTAAATCTCCGAGGGAATAAAAAATCCTGCAAATTGTTTGGTGGAAGAGAATCTGTCTGCTGCTTGAGCCCCAGATTGCTTCAATAACAAAATATTGTATTCAACAAGAGTTAATAGTTGTTTTGTTTTGATATGACTCCCTGCTCAGGGCGTCATTCTTTAGGGGACGGCGTGAGCACTTAGAAAAAACCTAATGTCAAGTCACATCAAGAGCTTTTTAGGGCTTATACAAGAGTGGAAGCTGCAAAGGTGTGTCTATATCCTTCAATCATCTCAATTTCAAGATGTGAAACTATAAGCTTAGACTGAAATCCTAACTTGTCTGTTTATTTATGGCCTAATTTGGCAGGAAACATCAATAACCCTTCATCAAAACCCTGCTTTGTTCAGTTCTCAAGAAAACATGTAATATCCAAGGAAGTTTTTTTGCACATTGTGTGATAAACATCATCATCAGACGTTCTTAGTCTTTGAAGATCTCATCTCTTTTTTTTCTTTTTGTTTTGACACAGGAGTTGTGTTTTTGAAGACCGTCCAGCTCAGCTGCCTGTGGTGTTGATGATTTTACATTGCAAGCCGCTGCAATTTACTGCCTTTCAGTGAAGAATTCATTTCATGTGGGAAACTAGATCTGACACATTTCCACCCTCACATAAACACAACAGAAAGGAGCCCATGTCACACAAAGCATCGTTTCAGAAACATCAAAAATATTTAGCATGATATGTGAGATAAACGTCTGCAACACTGAGACAGTAAAGCGAGACAAAGGAAATATTTGACAACGGTCTCCTTCTATAAATGTTGAGATATAATGCTGATCTTACACCTATGTGCGACAACACATGTCCCAGAGCAGAACAAACATACATTTTATTTTTTTGAACGCAATATTCAATGCTCTTCCCGTTGCTGTAAAACATCTGTTGTGTTTTCTGGCAGAATGAAAAACGGTTTCATTTATTCGAGGTCAAAAACCTTTGTCTTACTTTTTCCTTGACTTCCTTCTTCTGTCAACTGATGTCAAAGTTCCTCCTTTTAGGATATTGTTACATTTTTATCCAAAACCATGACGCTCAGTTTAAAATAAGGCAACACCTTTCACATAGTGTCAATAACCCAAAATAGCACTTCCTTATTACATTTACAAGCACTTTTTGTAAAATTTCTCAGTTATTAATCAGACAAGTGGGAGGCATTTTTGCGTAAGACAGTTTATAGGGGAAAAATAACTCACAATATTTAGCTTTTGACATTTCTAATGTAACCACCACTTTCTTTATTGGATTAAAAATAAAGGCATGTTTGTACTTGCTATGAAGTCATAGATGTGTCCTAGTGATGTTTCTCGTGACAACAGAAGTCAGTCAGTTATGAGATGTTTAAGGATAACAAACATCTGAAGGGTAGGGCCTGATATTTTGGAATATAAAGTTTCTGAATGGTGGTGGTGATGACTGGTCAATATCTTTCTGGACGAGTAAAAATATAAAACTTTGAATCCAACATTTATATTTTACCTCTTTCTCTAGTGTGTATTTGCTGGCACTTGAATGATGAAACAAGGCTTTAAGTCAACAAGACCTCTGATGAAGCATATGTAATTTGAGCATCAACTCAGTCTGCCGGAGTTTGTTTGAACACAACAGAAAC